CAGATTTTTATTTCATTGAATATAATATTAATTAATTAATATAATTAATCAATGTAATAGTTATAAAGTAAAAAATAATACTTTTTTTCACAAAAATTTTGAACCACCCAGTATGATAGTATAACATTTAATTGAATTATTATTAATTTCAAATATAACTTAATTATATCAATAAATTGTTTACGATAATTGAATTTAAATTTTTTAGCCCATTGACCATCTGTTAGTTAACACATTAGGATGATCGAAACCATTGATGTACGTTTAGTCATTACCAATAAAAGCGTGTTGTAACTTTGGTGCTCGATATCCAAGTGTTCGGGCTCGATAATCTTGATTACGATTTTCCATTACCAAAAAGGGGTTTATACAATGTAAAAAAAAGTATTTTCGATAAAAGTTAGCTAGTCGTCTTCTACGACGTGCGTGGTAAGAAGTTCTGAAGATACAATTTTAAGATAGATATTTTGCAAGCGGAATTAGGAAACAACAATTCGTCTTCAAAATAACCGTAGGCACAAGCTTCGTGAATTTTGTGCACCATTGATTACTTAACTTCCCACTCCCAAGTTATTATTAAGACGAGGTTCTGGGTTGGTAAGTTACACGAATTTGTTTAATAAAAAACTTTTGAAACAGGTTCACAACTCCATAGGCAATTGCGAAGTAGAAATGTGGAGCACTCGACAAGCATTTGATTTTTGATACTTTATCGTCAAAGAACATCCGATTCCTTCGGGCCAATCACACATCATAAAACGAAGTCGATCACTTTTAAAATTTTATTCTTTTAAATCAGTTTTCTGTCGTTTATTACTATCATCTTCCTTAACAGAATCGTCGTGCCTTTTTCCTTCCGACAGAACGCTGCTCTTCGTGATCGGAACGTAACATAACTCGAGTTCCATACCATCCGGATCTTCCCACGTGACTTTATCGCAAAAGAAAATTAGAAAGGTTGATCACGCGCAAAAACATTACAAAGGGAAGTGCAGAAATTCACACCAGCATAGTAACCGGGAACATAATTATATTCCTTGGGGGCATCCAAGACTTTGTAATTTTTTTTAACCAAGAAATCGTGAAATTCATCAATCTCCTTTCTGCTGGTTGCGTTAAGTGCCAAACGAATTCCGATTGAAAATTTATCATGCTTTTTATCTTTGAATTCAGGCTTGATAGGTGAGATCGCAATTTGTCCTACGTTAGCATTAAACCAAGACGTATAAAATTCTTTTTTAACCAAGACCGTGTAGCCTATGAGTTTATCGTCAAAGCGAAGGAAAAAGATGTCAGCTGGTCCAGGTTAACGAGTTTACAAAATGAGAAAGTAATTCTTCTCCAAAAAATCCAAATTAGAACTCTGACCAAGTTTGGTGAGCAGGGAATCATAAAATTCAGTACTCTTTTGGTAATCGCTTACACTAAAACACAGGTGATGCAAAGTTCCTAAGGGACGTTGTAAATTCTCGGAGCTCATCATTTTTGGGGTGGAGTCAGGAACCAGAATACGAAGGTATCTTTTAAAAAAAGAGTTACAGGTGAATTGAAGTTCATTATATTGAACCACAACATTCTTATACTTTGCTTATTTTGTTCCCGGGTGGCAGATCCAACATTAGCTGGCGTAAAAAAAAAAAAAAAATAAGGATCCATTACAGCATAATTACATCACATATGCTAACAACTTAGGTCTCCAGGTTGATGGATGACCGGAAATCAAGGCTCGCATTGACCGATGGTCACTGATCACCGAAATCTTGACCATAATAATAAACGAATTACTGGACTTTTTCGTTGGCATTTAATGACAAAACAGGAAATTGTGGTCTTTTCCGAACCAATTTGAGAAAGAGAGAGTCGGGTAACATAAATTTGTGAATTAAGATTTGAGTCAGGTAATGGTCATTTAGGTATAATTTATTTCTAATGCAGAATCGTGTGCGCACTTTATTAAAACTTTTTTTTTTTCAGCTGGCACATTACGCAGGTTCCCGAGTTTGATGTGAAATTCGGTTGGTGGATCGTTATCATCAGGCGCGTGATTATATTTCTGGATAAGGTGATAAATTAAGATACTTACAATTTTGGAATGATAATCGTGATGACAATTTGGCTTCGTGAAATGTCCAAGTTCTCATTTACCTTTTATTGACTCACCGTTGTTAGATACTTTCAATGAATGCTAAATTAAGCTTCAATGATGATATCCATCAATGAGACGAGATCAGATCACTGCATTAAGACAAAACATTGCAGGGGGACTGGTCAACTATGGTAAATACTATGGTACATGCGTTCCTGTGCTCTATGTAACGGTGTATGCTGAGAAAAATAATTGGATTTTTTAATAGTTAGCCCGGTGTGCTTTTTTCTCATTTACGATTATAATTAATATTATACGGAAATTTGGTAACTACCGATTAGAAAACGTAATGATACTTATTTATTTACAGTTGAAAAAAGTATAGTGATTGAGTATGATGATGTTATATTCTAAAACATCGCTGGCGTCTTACACATATGGAAATTATCAATTCTCTCCGATCAAACTCTATCATAAGATCTCGATTTCCGAATCTTCCTATTCCTTCGATAGTTTCAATTCCACCACATACTCTCAGTACGTCATACTGGTGTTTTCGTGTACTTCGCCACGTTTGATTATTTTCAAGACCGACCGCCACACATCGAATTTGTCACGTGTGATATTATCCATCTCACGTGGCTTCCCTTAAATGCGTCTGAAGCTCAGATCACAGTATCATGGAATCTGAGAGCGTTGACCATTGGATGTGTAGATCGTGGCGAAAACATCGCATCTTTGAATGCACAAGAATGCGAGTGACCCGCTTATCAGGAAACATGAGTGATCGATGTCGTTTATTGGTGAAGTGAGAAAAATCGGTTTAAAAAGATCGTAGTAATAACTATTCTCCAGTGAAAGTTGGTGCATAATATAAAATTCTCACGCAGAAAAACTGATCTAATGATCAAATCATTGGAATCGGTTTCGTGCGCATTTTTTCTGATGCCTAGAGTTTCGCCAATAGACATTTTACTGATGCTTTGTCTTTGATCACGCGTATTGATTTGATTCCCGCTTTACTTTTAGCATTAGCTGATCGCATATTCGATAATTCTCATTTGACGGGAAAAAACTTCCTTTTCCTTACTTCTTTGGATAAAGAAACGAATATAATTGATATCTTTTCTTCCTGTCTTCCGGTTCCTCTATTGAAGTTTTCCGTACAGTCATAATCAAGAAGTCTCATAAAAATGTCTGATAAACCTCATCATCATCAACAACGTTCTCTGCTCACAGTCTTTATCCTTCTCATAACCTTTTTCATCTCCCAAATCTCTACAACGAGCATTTGTTGTCCCGCCGCCACTTCTGACGATCGCAACCCATTGTTATATTCTCGCTCTCCCGTTGCGGAATGCCATCCCTTTTCTTCCGACGAGAACAAGATGTGGGATTTCGCAAAACGTGATCGAAAAAACGATTTTGAATCCGTTGGTAAACGTGGAGAAGCAAAACTCTTCGAAAAACGTGAAAAACTAGGTCAAGAAAAAAAATCCTTTGAAGAACGTGATAACTGTCATGAAGAACGACTTGATGAACGATGCAATGGTTATATTCCAAATGGTTGTCATCAACCTGTATGTTGTGAAAAAAGACCACCGATAGCCTATGGAGGAGCTCCCGGCTGTAACAACGCACCTTTTGTTTATGACTCTGGATATTGTGGAGGATGCGGCACGGAGTATGATGTTGGTAGGATTAGCATTTGTAATCCAATTCGACCTGGTTTGGTACCTCTGGGATGGTCGAGGTTCTGAATTTAGAAAGATTCAAATAACAATGTTTCGATGTTTGCAAAGAAATCCGATGTGCGCTTTATTATGTACTTTTTAGTAGTTACGTATTTTACTTAAATGTTGTTAAATTTGTTCTTACTCAGAATATGAATGAAAGGATAATGTACTTATATTAAAATGATTATCGCAATATGAACGAAAAAATTAATAAAAAATCCTAATTTCTGTTCCTACACTATATTGAGTTTTCTTAGTAAAATTCTTGTTCCTCTTCCTCTTCTTCCTCTTCCTCTTCTTCTTCTTCTTCATCTTCATCCATATCCTCATCTATATCACCTTCGTCTATATCACCCTCTTCTATATCTTCTTCCTCTTCTCCGTGCTCATCGTCTTCACCACCCTCTTCACCGTTTTCGTAATCATCGTAATCGTAAAAACCAACACCATCCCTTCTTACATGAGATGATGACAAAGAATGACCATGAAAGGGATTTAGCGAACGAATGACGATGATGTCATCCGTAACGCGATGAATGTACGAATGTGGGTAAGTAGCGACTAGAACTGTGAGGAATGCGAGTAAGAAGAAGAAGGAATTGAAGGAGTTTTGCATTTTATTTTGATTTAGATCTGAAGAGGGAGGTGTTGAGCGTTCATGAAGAGCTTTAATTAACGTACCCTAGTACGTCGTCATGCGCTTGTGATGATCGCGTGGTTCCGCTTTTTTTGGTATTGAGAATGACTTGATTATTCAAATAATTTGTTTTCGATTGACCGAAAATCATCTTTTTGGTGATCTTGCAAACGATCAACCAATATTACAGTTTCGCTTCATTCTGTCTCAACATGGGAAACGTGAATTGTATCAAACTAAACGCCAAAAAAGCAACTGATCGACATAATTAATAATAGTACAGCGAATTGCTCGGATACATTAAAAATAATTTATTTAATGGTAATTTCTATAAATAAAGATTACCAAGTGCTGTATTACCCGGTATTGGTAAGGTTTCCAAATAATTAATTTATTAAGGTTTCACGCGTCTATTTAAAAAGATTATTTTTACATACTTGCACGTATGCATCTTATTCTCGATTTTAAAT